CTTTATCAACTAAGTTTATGGAATATCTAAATCCTTTGTTGTTATTTCAACAATGTTCATAGCACTTCACCAAGAGTAGATTTCATCTCAAGAAACTACTTTCTTTGCTTACTATAAGAAGCAACTCCTCATCCATTCAATTTTTTTTTTCTTTTGGTCTGTCAGGGTCTCACTCTGTCCCCCAGTCTGGAGTGCAGTGGCATGATCATGGTTCATTGCAGTCTCCAGCTCCTGGGCTCAAGCAATCCTCCCACCTTGGTCTCCCAAGTTGCCAGGATTACAGGCGTGCACCACCATACTCAGTTATTTATTTATTTTAGAGACAAGGCCTAACTATGTTGCCCATGCTGGTTTTATTATGAGATCGAAGCAATTCAGTCCCAACTTCAAGTTCTACTTCCAATTCTAGTTCTCTTGTTTTTTCTACCACATCTACAGTTACTTTATCCATTGAAATCTTGAAGCTCTCAAGGTCATTAACATCTTCCAAACTCCTGTTAATGTGGATATTTTGAACTCCTCCTGGGAGTCATGAATGTTCTTAGTGCCATCTGGAATGGTGAGTTCTTTCAAGAAGGTTTTCAGTGTACTTTGCCCAGATCCATCAGAGGAATCATATTTATGGCAGCTATAGACTTACAAAACACAGTTTTTTTTAAGATTAGAAAATATAGTTTATTTAAAAAATAAATTAGAGAGAGCAAAAGAGGAGATTCACCTCCCCAAGGTGGGCGAGGGGACTAAAGCCAGGAAACATGGCCTGGCCACAGCTCAAAGAGCACATGGCCACACCATGGCTTAGCAAGGCAATGGTGGCAAAATGTATTTCTTAAACAATAAAACCTGAAAGTCAAAATTATTCTTTGGCCGGATATGGTGGCTTATGCCTATAATCCCAGCAGTTTGGGAGGTGAAGGTGGGAGGATTACTTGAGCCCAGGAGTTCTAGACTAGCCTGGGCAACATAGTGAGACCTTGTCCCTACAAAAAATTCAAAAAAATAACTGGGCATGGTGGTGGGCACCTGTAGTCCCAGTTATTCAGGAGGCTGAGGCAGAAGGATGGCCTGAGTCCAAGAGATTGAGGCTGTGGTGAGCCATGATCTTGCCATGGCACTCCAGGCTAGGTGACATAGTGAGACCCTGACTCAAAATAAAATTACTCAAAAAGAATTACTCTTTGATCCATGGGCTGCAGAATGGATGTTGCATTAGCAGGTAAGAACACAACATTAATCTTCTTGTACATTTCCTTTGGAGCTCTTAAGTAATCAGTTGCATTGTCAATGAGCAGTACTCTTTTGAAACTGAAATCTTTTTCTCTGAGTAGTAGGATTCAACAGTGGACTTAAAATATTCAGCAAACCATGCTGTCAACAGATTTGCTGTTATCCAAGCTTTGTGTTTCATTTATACAGTACAGAAGAACAGATTTAGCATAATTCTTAAGAGTCCTAGGATTTTCATAATGCTATATGAGCATTGGTTTTAACTTAAACTCACCAGCTGCATTAACCGTTAACAAGAGAGTCAGTCTGTCTTTGGAGATTTAAAGTCAGGTATTGACTTCTCTCTAACTATGAAAGTCCTAGATTGCATCTTTTCTCAGTAGAAGGTTGTCTCATCTACACTGAAAATCTGTTGTTTCGTGTAACCACCTTTATCAATAATCTTAGCTAGATCTTCTGCATAACTTGCTGCAGCTTCTCCATCAGCACTGGTGGCTTCACCTTGCACTTTTATGTTATACAGATGACTTATTTCCCTAATGAACCAACCTCTGCTAACTTCAAGCTTTTCATCTGCAGCTTCTTCATCTCTTTCAGCTTTCACAGAATTAAAGAGAGTTGGGCCTTTCTCTGGATTAGGCTTTTGCTCAAATGTTGTAGCTGGGGTTTGTTCTTCTATATAGTCCACTAAAACTTTCTTCATACTAGTAGTAAGGCTGTTTTGCTTTCTTATAATTTCTCTGTTCACTGGAGTAGCACTCTAATTACTTTCAAAAACTTTTCTTTGCAGTCACAACTTGATTAACTGGCTCAAGGGCTTAGCTTTTGGCCTATCTCTGCCTTTGACATGACTTACTCAGTAAACTTAATCATTTCTAGTTTTTTATTTCAAGTGAGAGAGGTGCGATTCTTCCTATTACTCAAAAACGTAGGGGTTATTGTAAGGTATTTACCTGACCTAATGTCAATATTGTTGTGTCTCAACGAACAGAGAGACCCAGGAGAGAAGAGGTGGGAAATGGCTGGTAAGTGTACACACAACATTTATTGACTAAGTTTGCTGTCTTATATGGATGTGTTTTGTGGTGCTCCAAAACAATTACAATTGTAATACCAAAGATCACTGATCACAGATCACCATAACAGATATAATTATAATGAAAAATCTTGAACTATTGTGAGAATTAACAAAATGTGACACAGAGACATAAAGTGAGCACATACTATTGGAATAATAGCACCAATAGACTTGCTCCACATAGAGTTGGCCACAAACCTTCAATTTGTAAAGAACGCAATATCTGCAAAGTATAATAAAGCAAGCACAAATAAAATGAGATATGCTTGTATCTCAACATATGGCATGCCCATAACATAAAAAGATCACAAATTAATTTTAGTACTCAAGATACTCTACAATAATTAGGAAACTCAAGTGTGATTTTGTATAAAGGTTGCCACTACTTCTCATGTCAACTTCATACCCTACCCAAGAAAAACATTCCTTGGTAGGTATCACTTTCCTGTTGTGTTTAAAGTAACATTTAAGGAGTTTTTAACATTGTTTTGCTTAAGACTTAAAAATTAATATGCCCACTTAAAATGCATCATGAAAACAAAAGTAACTAAAGGGGAAAAATTTTTCACATAGTTTTTCCCCCTCTCAATAAATGCCTTCTTAAATGCCTCAAGAAAGTATTTACAAAATACTCAAGTGAAAACATTCAGCTATGTTCTACCATAGGAGTGCTCAATATTATAATATCATCATTTTTCATTTCAGAGACACGTATTTTTATCTTATTACTGAAATTCAGTTGAATCTTAACAATTGATAGCATATCATAATAAAACTGGCAGACATTTTTTCTTCATGGTACATAAAATAATGTGTCTCAGATTTGATTCAATATAGAATAAGAGAATGATGTAAATATAAAGTAAATTAAAACTAAAAATATTTTAAATCCCTCTTATTACTTAGTATTGGTTAGGAATCAGCGTTTTCCTCTTTTGGTAAATAAAACAAATTCAAGATGATAATAAACTTCTAGGGGCCATGAAGCTCTAAGACATACTTCATAAAACCTATGATCTATCTTCCTAGGAAAAAAATGTATAAGGCACACACATGTACAAATTTGTATCTAATTTAGGGATTCACAAGCTCCTGGGAAACCAAGCATCTATGGATTCTAGGTTAAGAATGCTTTATTTAGACAACTGTAGAAGCAGGTTCTAAGGTTCTAGAGGATTTTTGTAAAAAGTTAATACAATATAAATATAGTTTCGACAAATTTAAGCACATGACACACAAAAAAGCTAGTGTTAATACATTCTTTAAGTCTCAGGATTGGAACCAAAGTTTGGTTTGAAGAATGGTATCGCTAACCAAAATTAATGTCTCATTAATTCAACAAAAAACTTTAGGAGAATCACCGTCCTTACTCTTCTTTAAGAGCCATTTTTCACAGGCTTGGTGGCTCAGCCTGTAATCCCGTGCCTTTGGGAGGCTGAGGTGAGTGAATTGCCTGAGCCTGCGGGT